GTGTTATATTGAAGTGTTTAAAGTGTTATATTTGGAAAAAATATATTAAGAAATTTTTTGAAGTGTTACGTTTAGTAATTTCAACATTATGAGAGAATTCACATTTATCCTTCAGTACATAACACACGTGCGTTTATGCTTGGCTCTTGATATAATTCACACTGGAATGAGACTTTTGGGTTTATAAGAAAAAAAGATGTCCAAACAATTAACGAAATCATTATTTGAGATTTATTAATATTTCACTCAAATTTATAATAACAAATATGAATAAATTACATTGTTTGGAATGATATAAATAAGTATATTTTTTGACTTTTTACGAAAAGATGTGTAGAAAAATAGAGAGATAATATGACCTAAAAAAGATAAAAAGTGCATTTATATAGCACACCCCAAACTGCTTACAAAATGATGTATTAAAAATTAAGTACAATAATTTTATTTATTTATTTTTTAAGAACTATGGCGTGGTTTAGGATGTTATAAATAAGAGTATTTTTTGATTTTTTATAAAAAAAAATGTGTAGAAAATTAAAAAAAAAAAGTGGTTAAAAAGTAGAGAAAATATATTGATAAATATTGATTGATATGATCTAAATAAATATATGTATATAAAAAAATGTACTTTTTAAGTTCTTCTCAAACACCTACATAGGACTGATTTGTCATACCTCAAAAAAGTCAAAAAATCAAAAAATTATTTAAAAAGTTACAAAAATATCGCTATTCACAAAAAAAAAAAAAAAAATTACAAAAAAGTACAACTCACATGTCACGTGAGTTGTACTTTAGCTGCCCACCGTTTATACAAAGGAAATAGGCGGAGAAGCAAACAAGATAGTGTTGTTCGGCCCGTGGGGAGTTATCACGGGTCCTGTTTTGATAATCTGAATCGTTTAATATATAGAATTCGTCGAGTAATATATAGCTGTAAAAAATCACGTCGATCATATCACTAACTACATGATCAAATCAGTTTTGTATAAAAAATGGATGGTGTTATAGTTAACAGTTGACAAAAAACTAATCCAATCAGATAACTTTCGATATCCGATTAACGCGCTTTTCTACAAGCATATAGTACTTAATGAGTTTTACATATTAAATGGTTCTAATTAACAAAACGAGACCTGTAGTGGGCCCCCACGGGCCGAACAACACCATCCACTTCAATGCCCGAAAAAGAGGCAAGCTTTTCTCATACACTACTCTGTCCACCGTATTACCTACTCTGCCTAAGCTTCTCTTATATACTAATTTATATAATTTTTTAATATATATTTTTTCATAAATAGTTAAAAAATTATTTCAAATAATTATATTTTTTTTCTTAATTTTTTAAATTAAAAAATTAAAAAATATATTTATTTAAAACACCCCCAAACAATTCATTTTACAAGCGGAAAAAGATAAGAAAAAGGGCAAACGCAACCCCAGTCGAACCAGCCACACAAAAAGAGCTAAACAAATCACACCCAAACACACACCAGAAAATAAGGGGAAAAAATGGCATTAACTTCTTTACATATGGATCTCCAGTCCCTTTCATCTTCTGTGTGCAGTGCCACCCCTCTCCCATCAAACATCTCTTTCAAACTCGAGTAACTTTTATATGAAGATAAAATTGGGTTCAATGTTTTCTGTTGTGCGAGTTCTGACTTAAACAGAGTTTATTTTAAGAGGTTGGGATAAATTTTTAAGTTATAGTCTCTTTGTTCGGAACGACTAACAGGACACCCTGGTGATCTCTGCAAGGGGCGCTGCCTTGGACCTGCGAGGGAATAGGGAGGATTTTTCTGTAACAAAAAAATAAATAAATAAAAAATAAAAAATTAGGAGATTTAGCTCATTATAAGTTAAAAGTTAATAATTAAAAAGTAAAAGTAAAAGTATTCCTTTCTTAATTTTTAAATAATCAATTTTTTTTAAAGTTATTTTTATCTAAAAAACTGTAAGTAGAAGTAAAAAAAAATTGATTAAACTGATTGAACCAGACCAAACCAGTTATATTTGGTCTGTTTTTTAATAAGAATCGGTCTGTGCAATTTTTTAATTTGATTTTTTTCAATCTTCAGTTCGATATCTGTTCAAGCATATTGTGCAGCAAATTAAACCGAAACCGACCGCTATATATATATATATATAATCTAATAATATAAAGATATTAATAAGTATAATAAATTATTAATCTTAATTAATTAACCTTATCATCTTTATAACTTAATTTTGTAAACTCTTATTATGTGGATGTTTGAGAAGTGGCTATTTTAGAGGCTTTTTGGCTATTTTAGTAGGTTATTTTAGTTTTTGTGTTTTGAAAGATGTGATGAATTTTTATTTGAGTTGTTGTATTGAAAAATATATTGAAATGATGTTTAAAGTTAAAATGACAACTTTATCTCTGACCTTACATTTTTCAAAATTAATCTAAAGGGGCAAAATCGTCATTTCAGCCTCAAAGACTAGGCTGTCACAATTTTGTGCCTACACACTGTCATGACAGTGTAGGGCTGCCCACTGCTGTCGATTTTGTTTTTTTTTTTTTTTTTTAATAATATAAATCATTGATTTAGAATTTTTGAAGTTTTTTAGGTTTTTTTAGTCTTTGAGGCTATTTTAGCCTCAAAAGTGGATTCCCAAACAACCCTTATATATAATTTTAACTCTAACTCACTATTCTTGAAACCTTAGTATTTTTAAAAAAAAAATTATTTTTATTTTTGTTAATTTAAGAATTGAAAAGTATGTATTAAATGGGTGGATTGAATATGTTTGAAATAGTAGATAAATAACCAATTTAATATTTTTATATAGATTAATGATTATATTTAAAAGTGGCTCAAGTTTAAAAAATCTTAAACCAATTAAATCACACCAAACTGAACCATTTTAATCGGTTTCGGTTCAGTGCGGTTTGATGAGAGAAGTGTTGTTTAAATTGGGTAATTGAAACAAAATATATAAATTCATGCTTTATTAAATTAACTAAAAGAACATCAAATAAAATCATACTTGATAAATTACATCATAGAGTATAAACATAAAACAAGACTAATATAAGAACATATTTAATCTGAATATGAAAATAAGAAATCAAACCAAATTCTGCGTGATACCATAGTGTCCTTAAAACAGATTAGCCACCTCACCGTGAGTGCTAGAAGAACGTTGACTTCTGTCTCCCAGGATAAGATGGTTTTAAACTGGCTAACTCAAAAGCACCTTCTGTTAGCTTTAGTGAACCGACAATGGCAGCACTTTTTCATAGTAAGAAATTTCTAGCAAACTGACTAAAGAATGGAAGAAACAATTTCTATGTTTGAGACTTGATAGAAGGGTCTCAATTTTTACATGTATAGGGGAGAGAGGAGAAGCCTTCAGCCTTTATGGCTGGTCACTAATGCACCATTAACCTCTGCAATAAAGACAAGAGTTACAAATTTCATTAATGCACTATTAAACTCTGCAATAAAGGCAGAAGGTACAAACCTCATTAATTATTTCATAAAGCTAATTTTATGGGGCAATTTCTTATTTAATTCTCAATGATTTTTGGCTATTCATTGCAAAGTATCTAGACCCACTTGGACTCAATACAATAAATGGATGGGACCCACTTTAATATTTAATTAAAGTCTCCAAAAATCTATTTTTTCCAACGAGAAATGGTCTGTATCGTTGTTCAAAATAATAAAATCGATATTATCGATTTGATATAATTTTTTACCTAAATACCGACGGTATCAAACCGATTATATCCCTACCAAACGCCCTTAATATATACCATATGATATTTTTTTATTATTATAATTAATTTTAATAGTAAAATTGACTATACGTTAGATATTTAAAAAATAATAAAAAAATATATACGTTCGGGATTGATAAAAAATATTACCCCATGAGTATGCTATTAACATTCAAAAAATTGTCATCAAAAGCTCGTCTTCAAATTATATCTGTTTGGCAGGTAACACTTTTATTTAAAAATTAAAAAATTATTAAAAAAAATTAAATAAATTTATAATTTATATTAAAAAATTTAAATATTCGTTTTCCTTCTCAAATTTTTTATATATCTTTTTTTAAAAAATTAAAAAATTATTTTCAACTATATTAATTTTTTTATCTCATATTTTAATTAAAATATTAAAATACTTTTCTTATTTTCTTGATATAGCTGCTTGTTTCATTTTCAAAAAATATTGTTTTAAAAAATTTTTTTTTTTTATTGATTTTTTTTATTTTTCTAGGAATTTTTTTTTTTAATTTTTAGATACTTCTAATATAAATAGACTTAAAAAATATAATATTTGTGAAAAAATAATTTAGAAAATTTATTAAATATCAAAAATATAAAAAAATACAAGAATTCAGTACATTTTTTATATTTTTATGTATTTATTAATTTTTTAAAATATTTTTTCACAAATTTTTTACTTTTTAGATACATTTAAGTAAGGTACATTTAAAAAAATAAAAAAAATATTTAAAATTTTAAAAATATTCACTAAAAATAAAAAAAAATACGAAAATAAAAAAATTCAATTTTTAAAAAATTTAATCTAAAAAATCCAAACCACAGACTGATTAATTTTTTTTTCTTTCATATGTGCATTAAAAATTCTGGCTGGCTCACTTCCCTCTATTTCCCTCTACCTTCTCTTCCCTCCCTCCCAGGTTTGATCTCTCTCTCTCTCTCTCTCTCTAAAACTCTCACACACTCTCTCCTGTTCATCCTCTGCTGCATTTCCATGTCCATTTAGGCCATGTTTGATTCACAATACTAATAGTGAGTTATTAATAATCCTATTAAATTAGTGTGGTATTAACTATCCCACCCCTACCCTATTACTAATAATCCTACAAATTTGTTGGATTAATTATCCATTGGATTAATAGTCCTAAACCAAAATGTCAAAACAAACATAGGATGATTGGGCCCACGGATTAATAATCCTAATCCCATACTTTAATCCTTCCAATCAAACATGTCCTTATAGTCTATTTTTTCCATGACATGTCACATTACTGTTTTATCACTACATTATTATTTTTGCAAAGTTTAGCACTTGATCTCTTCAAGATTCGAATTCTCTCAGATCTGATATTTCGAGATTTGAAAAACCAAATATCTCTAGAGTTGTGGAATTTGATTGAGCTGATTCAGTGTTTAGATCGATGCGCTAGGGTTTATTTGAAATGGATGGGCGGTTGAAGAAGCATCATCATCATCATCATCATCATCATCATCGGGAAGTGAGTCCGGAGAGAGCGAAAGTCTGGACGGAGAGGTCACCCAAGTATCAGCAAACTCGGAAAGTGCCTGTGGTTTACTATCTCTGTAAAAATCGACAACTCGAACATCCTCATTTCATCGAACTCACTCTCTCATCACCCGATGGCCTTTACTTGAGAGGTATAACAATTTATATATATATATATATATATGTCAATTCAAACAATTTCTTGGTCAATCTGATACTAATATTCAGATTTTGAAAATGAAGATGTGATTGCTAAGCTTAATGTGCTTAGAGGCAGAGGCATGGCTTCAATGTACTCATGGTCTTGCAAAAGGTTGATTCTTCATTTGTTTTTTATTATTTTTTTTTTTCAGTTTATTTATTTATTTATTATTATTTTATTATGTTTGTGTGTTTTGGGTGCAGAAGTTATAAGAATGGGTTTGTGTGGCATGATCTGGGTGAAGATGACTTAATTTTTCCTGCTCATGGAAGTGAATACGTTCTCAAGGGTTCTGAGCTCTTTGAAGAGTGTAATTCAGGTGAGCAAATGCAACTTGGTCCATAGTAGAGTTTCTGATCTTGTAAAAATTTAAGAGAAAGTTCAAATATGCTTTTGGGAAACTTTTCGATGCTTTTGGGAAAGATTTAAGGGAAAATTTCAATTGAGTGTAAATTTTCAAATAATTACAAATAAGTTGTAAACTTTATGAATATTAATAATTAAAATCATAAATTTTTTTCATGAATATGTAATAGCTTTCTAAAGTTACCACTGGATGGGAATTTTCCCAAAATTAAATGGATACTAAAAAAAAAAAAAAAACCTTTAGAAACTACTTACAAACTTAGTGGAATTTTTATGGATTTGTTTCAACAGATTTCTATCACATAAAAAACTAATTCTAAAAATGTTTAGGAAATTATTTGAGGAATTTCAATAAGCATATTGAAAGTTCTCGGCAACTATTTGACAATCTTTGAAAACCCTTTTGGAAACTTTTTGTTAAAAATGAGATTTAAAAAATTTAATAAACTGAATAACTCAAAAAGTATAGAATTATAGGTTTACTCAATAGTAGTATCTTAAGGAAAATTTAATTTAACTTGTCACTTGCCATATTAGCATTCAAGACAAGAAAGATTTATGTTATTAACTTAAGAGTTTGGCTTCTCTCATGTTGTAATCTCAACTTGAGAGAGTGTTGGGGCTTAGTGGGTCTATTTTGGAACCCATTTTGGTGATTAATTGAGTGGTTCTTAGTTACCAATTGCTTTAGAAATTTAGAGCATGTATATATGTCTCCACGTATATATATTAACTTAATTATATGTCCATGTATCACACACAAGACCACAATTTGTGACATCAATGAGCTCTTTAGTTTCATAGGAAAGGCGGGGAAAATAACATAAAATTGAAGGTTATACCAATTACGCAGGTTGTACCTATTAGCTTAGTTCGGTTTTTTCTTTTATGAAAGTAGTAGAAGGGGAGGGAGGATGTGGTTGGCTTTGCAAAACTGATTTTCAAAGATTTCTCTGCCACTGTTCCATACATCACTGTAGACACCTGGAGAATTTCGGCCAGGCTAGCCAGGAACTTGAAAAAAAGAGAGTTTTTCCCCTCTCTAATATCTTCATTCTGTGTTGATGAAAAAAAAAAAACCGTTTTATCGTTTTTCAATTCTGGAGTTGTTGGGATGTTTGAATGTGTGCAATCTGAAAACAAGCCAACACACTTCTGTTGGAAAGGAATTTCATATTGCTGTTTATATTCTTCTCCTTCATTTTCTCAGCAAGCAAAGAGAGGTTAGCTAATTTACTACAAAAATAGCTAAAGGCTTGAAAATTTTGTTTTGTTTTGTTTTATTTTAGGTATATTTAGTCCTGCTGCAAATATAAAATTGCAGAATCCAAAACAATTACCAGAGCCAGCATCTTCGAGGAGTCATCATGATGATTCTTCGTCTTCTTCAAGCATGAATGGGAGAGAGACAAAGAATTCTCAAGAAGATGACCTTTCTCCTCCAGTTCAACATCCTGGTTCTTCTGGCATGTCTCCAGTTTCTAGGGATGGGAAAACATCACCTTGGAATGGTTGTCTAAGCTTGACAGAGTACAAGGTTTACAAGAGTGATGGTTTGGCTGATGCTTCCACTCAGACCGAGGAAAATATAAGCAGAACTAATACAGCTCGAGAGACTTGCACAAGGGGTGTTTCAACAGATGATAGGTCATTAGAACCTCATAGCAATGAGTCTTTCCAAAATCGGGTTCCTGATGTGAAAGAAACTTCTGATATTTCTAGGGATTTAATTTCCCCACCTCCATCTTCATCTGGTGCTTCTTCGTCAGGTGGGAAGACAGCGACCTTAGAATCTCTGATCAGAGCTGATGCTCGTAAGATCAACAGCTTTAGGATACTTGAGGAGGAGGAATTTCGAATGCCATCTAGTACAAAGGTCAAGGCTTCAAGCATGCTGATGCAACTGATCTCCTGTGGGTCAATTTCAGTGAAAGATCACAGCTTTGGCCTTGTCCCTACCTACAGGCCAAGGTTTTCACATTCGAAAGTTCCCTCCCCCTTGTTCTCGACATCTTTGATGTTGGGAGAGCTTGATTGTTTGACAGAGAACCCAAGGCTCGTGGGTCTGAGGTTGGAGGATAAGGAATACTTCAGTGGGAGCTTTGTCGAGACAAATATGCTTAGGGAAGAAGGAGATGGCTTTAGTGCTCTAAAACGTTCATCTTCCTACAATGCTGACAGGTTAGTAGATTTCAACACTTCACCTAGCATTATGAGTTGTTCTTTACTCCCTGAATCGTGCATCTCTGTCTATTTGGTTGTGTCAATCTTTTAATTATGAATTTTATTAGGGCATATGCAAATGTTGAATGAAAAACGTTTTTTTATTTGAACAACATCAGATGATCAATTGTATCCCCTTGAAAAAAAAAATTGCGATGGATGTAAGGAGGCAATAGGAAATTTTAGTTCTTACTATATGAGGTTATAACCATAATTTATTGTGGAATCTTGTTAAGAACTTCTAAATGATCCCTTATCAACAAGAGAGCCATGAACATTAATTACAGTGGATGATTTCTTGGAATGAAATCCTCTGGCTTTATATATGCAATGAATTCAACTTATTCAAATGCCCTGGACGACAAATTGCTGGGATGTTATAACTGCAATACACCAAAATGGATCTCTACTAAATTCTTGCATCCAGGCATTAAGTTTCCATTAAAGTTTTAGTGGCGCTATGTTTGTACTTAGATATTTACTACATAGTGAAATATTATGTTGATGAATGGTTTGATCAAGTGAGAAATTGATTCGTTCTTTTATTTTTTGATAAGTAAAAAATTGATTCATTCTTGAAAACTATGTATTTGCAATTGTTGCTCCTCACTCTCCTCCAAAATGAAAGTTGGCAATTAATTGGCAATGCAGAAGTAGTAAGCAATTGGATTCAGCAGCAGACAAAGAGGACACAACATCGGTGCTTTCAAAGTGCATCCCATGTTCAACCAAGGCTTCACTGATCAAGCAGCCAAGAAGTGAATCAATGAGATCCCCAGTTTCTGAGGGACCAAGGATCTCCTCTGATAGAGTTGACAGCTCACGAACCATATCAAATGGGAGCAGCAGAAGAATCACAGAACCTTCTCCGAAACATTCAAAAAAACTAGAGTCCTTTAGAGAGGAGAAGGAAACGGTGATCAAAATAGAAGAAAGTTAAGTTTTGACTCCTCCCCATTTCACAATAGACTCTGAACCAGGTTCTAAATATTGGCCATTACGGAGAAACATTTTAGACTTTCAATATCGTTATTCATTAAAATATCAGTCTATACTATTTGATATATGACCGTATTGCCAATACTGATATATATCTTGATACCATTATTTGAAACCATGATATGGAATTTTCCTAATCAAGTTGGTTGAGATTTTTGTTTGATTTCCACTTTAACAGGCTTGCTTCAGGAGCTCGGGTTATAATCCAGTCCACGGCACCTTGTGACACTAATGGTGACTCGTAGAAAGCATTTTGGAGCTTGACCAAAAGGATTATGATTCCTGCAACTATTTGGAATTTTTTTTTTTTTTGAATTCCCAAGTAACGTGAGTAGATAAATAGTTTGGCTTTGTAAATTTGAAATTTGAGAAGAGTAGAGAGAGAGAGAGAGAGAGAGAGAGAGAGAGAGAGAGAGAAGGAGCAAACTAGCCACTGGCCTTTTGAGTCTGTTTAATACAGCTTTTCTTAGATGGGAATATGTTGTACTATTTTTTTGCTTACTGTAGTTGCAATATATTAGCCTTTATGCAGAGAGTATTGATTCCATCAGTACAGTTCTGAATTGTTGATATATGTCACAACTGCTAGAGAGAACCAATGGTCCCCAGGTTTTATTTTAGAGGTTGAGCCAGTTGTAGTCTGGCTGGTGCATGATGTTGACAAGATGTAGCATTCACGGAACAATTAGAATGAAAAAATTGTTGAATTTCATTTGATGATAATGGTGGGTTTGGTTGGAAATAATCTTATTTTTTTACATCTATCTTTTCTTAGGTAGACATTATAGTGGGGACATGGGATTCCTTGCCCAGCTGAAAAGTAGAGGGAGCGAGGTTATGAGCTTTTTATGGTTGACAAAGCGAAAAGGTTTTAAGTTCGAGGTCAAAGGCTAAAATAAAACAGCATACTCAAGTCAGTTGGCCATTCTGTTTGTTTCACAGGAAAACAAAAAGGAAATATTCAGAAACTTGTGCAATGTGGGGGGGGTTTATTTGATTATTTATCACACCTTTGACTCATGATGCTCATCCCCATCCCAACAAATAAAGTCAAATAATGCTCTCCATCATGGGTAGGTAGAGTGTGTTTGCGAAAAGCAAATAATAATTGATGAAATGCAAAATCAATTGGTATCTCTTGATCACTGCTACACCCTACATGATTGCCTAATTTGCCCTCTTATAGTGCACATTTTAAAGTTTTTCCTTAGATAAATTAAGTCACCATATATAATGATCATATTATTTTTTTTAATTTATTATTGTAATGATTTAAGAAGTATAAGTGAAAAGTGAGACAAGTATTTATTAATGTTGGGTTTGGTTGGGGGATTTGGGGAGGGATTTAAAAAGGGAAAGGGAAAAGGTGTGTGAAATTATGTGAAATATAGGTATGATTTATTCACATTTTACCTATCTTTTTCATTTCTCTTTTCAAATTTCTTCTCAAATCTCCCAACCAAACACAGTATAAAGGATGAGAATTTTCTGAGATGCAATTATGCTGTGTTTGTAATTATTTTTAGTCACATGCACTGATTTGTAATATAATGATGACCAAATCATATGATAAATTGCATATAGTAATTATAATATCATTGTTTAATATATATATAATTTACATTAACCTCTCTTAAACCTCATAATTGTAAGAAAATAGGTTTTACAGTTAAAAATAATAATTAAAAAAACAAACAAACAAACAAAATTAATTTTAATCTAATTATAATGATTATTTTAAAATTTTAGTTCACATTTAACACTAAATTTGCTTTTCAGTTTGAAATGAAAGTAGAGTTTGGAAGTTTGAAATAAAGTGAATAGAGAAGTGGGCTACCAAAAAGTTTCCACTCTCTCAACTCTCACTCAACTCTCTGAACAGAACACAGCTTTGAGAGACTGAGAAAAGGAGAGAGAGAGAGAGAGAGAGAGAGTTTAGGGACAATAATAAATGGACTGCCCTGAAGTAAGGCAAAGTAGAGGATCTGAAATATGGCGAATACGTATGTATATGTGGATCTGATCTGATCTTTCCCTTGCTTTTTCTCTGGGGGATGACAATGCTTTTGGATTGGAGTACCGACCACCACACAAACCCATAGTTTCTAATCAATAAAAATTTGAAACTATATCATACATGATACATCTACCATTAATCTTATGTCATCTATTTTTTCTTTATTAATGTTGTGGTTGATAGTGTTAAAATTGGAGGTATGTGTTGAATTTTCTTACATTAGTTAATTTTTTAGTTTCTCATAATGTTTATAAATAATCTCTTGCATATAAAAAACACATTTAAAAATTATAAACAAGATATAGATGGATATCCTTAATGTTGACATTTATTAATTGGAAATGCTAGGTGTATACACCCCATTTTTGACCGATCTTAAGACTCAGACTTCATCGATTGATCACTCGGTGATTGCGCATGTTGTGCTCGTTCTGAAGTTTCGGAGTTTGGCTGAGAGCCTTGCCTCCGAGCCTCGGAACTTTTTGTGCTTTGACTCGGTCTGCGGACCAGGTCTTGTTTTCTCTTCCCGAAGGGAGGGAGAGGTCTTGTAGACCATCCCTCAGTGGTCATAGGTTACGTTTCGTGGTCGTAGGCCACTGTTTCCGTTTATAGCTAGTTTCCGGTCTTCGAAGCCGTCGGCCGCACGTCTCGGTTCGGGACCGCTTAACATTCTCAGTTTGGCACGATTTTCAGAACACACCTTGTTTCCTCTGTTTAGAGGGACACTGTGACACGGGAGACCACTTTTGTGGTCGCATGCCACTTTCGGTGCTCAACAGCCAGTTTTCAAGGCACCCAGTCGCGTGCTTTGCCTCCCGAACTCTCGTTTTGCATCCGTCTTGGTTAATTTTTGGCATGGACCTTGTTTTCCTTGTTTGGAAGGTGGTACAAGGGTGGGAGACCACCTTTTCTCTTGGAGACCACTTCTCTCTCCGCCAGCTGGTTCTCTTGTTGGAAAACTGGTCTCCTTGATTTTTGAGTCGCATTTGCTAGTCTCCCACCATACCACTAGCTTGCATTCAGTTGGGAGACCATCAAATAGGCTGGCCGACCACTTTTCCTTGAGGGAGCCCACTCACCCTGGTCGGCCGACCAGGGGAAATGGTCGGCTGACCACCTTAACTGGTCAACCTGCTCCCTCCAGTTTTGTCTCTGTGAGTTATTGCCAGCTGGAAGGCACAGACTGCATCCTCTATACATGTGTATGGAGGATCTTTGGCCTTAGTTTTTAGCTTCTTTGAGAAGCTTTGGCCTCTTTTGTCTATAAAGGAAGGCCTCCCCCTCCTTTGTGAGGGTTCAGATTTTGGTTAAGGCACATACATATATCTCTCCCTTTGTCTCTATATTTAGGCTTAGGAAGTGTATTGTTCTTGACCCTTTTGCGCCACACCTCATAGCCTAACACTTCCACCATCAACCTAAGGTTCTTGGAGGCCATTTTTAGAGGTTAAGGAGCTAGGTTTTTGGTCCAGAAGTTGCTGTCATTGTTGAGCTTCAAGTGTAACTCATTTTCTCCCTTTTTAAGCATTATTTTGATCATTCTCTTAGCCTCATTTGCATGCTTATTTGAGGTTTGTTGTCAACTAAAAAAAGCTTTATTTTTAAGCATTATTCATGTTTGTTTAAGGCCATTTTCCTGTTAGAGGTCATCTACCCTCTTGCATGCTTCATTTAGTCATGTTTTGAGAGCCTTTGTGTTGACCTTTGCTTGGCCTTTTAGCCACTGAAATCCAGTGGATTTTCAGTGGTTGGCATGCTGTTTTGAGGGCCAAAATCAGAGAGAGGTGACCCTCTCTCTTTTGGCCTTGTTTGTTTGTATATTTGGCCTTTCCAAGGAGCCTATATTTTCATACTTCCTAGTCTTGGTTTAGGCCATTTTTAGTGACTTTTAGGACCTTCCTAGACTCTTTCTAGGGCTGGTTTGGTCACCTTATGTTTGCCTCTTGCATGTGTAGAATAATCCTCTTCATAGCTTATCAAAGGAGCATGCCATTCTTGCATGTATTGGTCATATTTCAGTGGATTTTTGGTCATTATTTGACATATCATAGCTCTGTCTTTGGCTGGTTTAATGGCCTCTTGAATGCTTCACATGCTTCTGGTGTAAACCATGCTCACTAGCTTACATTGCATGTTGTTTTGGCCATTGATTCTAGCATATTTTGGCCATACTTCAAGCTGATTTTGTTCATATTTTGGGCTGCCTTAGCTATGTTTTGAGGCCTCTTGGTCGAATGATGCTTGCTATGCATACTTGTAGTGTAATATCCTTGCCTAGCCTTGAGTTTTGGAGCCCCTTGCATGCTTAACTTGAGGTGTTTTCATGTCTTGGCATCATTGAGCATGTTATTTCAGAGCCTATACTTGTGCCATGTTCCCATGTTTTCCACTCTTTAAATGCGTTTGAGAGTTGTACTTATGGGCCACTGCATGAGCTTCATTTTTGTGCATTTCAAGCCATCATCTTAGTCCATTTTGCCACTGTTTCGGGCCTGTATAGGGACTGTTTGGGGTTGGTTTGTTCATTTGGGCATTGCTTTGCATACCTCTAGTGTAATACACTTTACTAGTTTCGGTATTTGAGCCATTCAACATGCATAACATGAGTTGTTTGCATAATTCGGGACCATTTTGTATGTCATTTCAGAGCTGGAACATGTGTTGTTGTATGCCATATTTCATCATTTCCATGCTTTCATACAGTTGTATCTTGTGCCCTAGGATTTAGGCCCTTGCATCTTGCATGTTTGCATGTGTTTTGTTGCCTCATTTTCATCATGTATGGCCACTGATTTGGGTGTGGCTAAGACCCATTCATTTTGGTTTAAGTCCATTTTGCATCAAGTATGCCATTGTAGTTCATAGCATTGAGTATGCCGCGTTGTCGCATGTTTGATCATTGCATTGCGCATGCCTTGTTCACTTCATTGTGTATGATAGTCTTCACATGTGCATTGCGTATGACATATAGTATCATGTGCATTGAGTATGCCATTGTTAGTTCGTAGCATTGCGTATGCTAGTTTGCATGTTTGCACGTTATCCTTTGCATGTTTGCATGACTTGGTTGCATCGCCTTAGGATTGCATGCTTGAGGTCGCATTGTGCATGCCATTCTACTTGTTGCATTGTGTTTGGAATAGGAGTTAGTCCAAGCACGGGAAACGAGGGACGTTTCATACTCCAAGTGATGAAACGTGTCTCGATTCTCGGTCGCTGACACTCTTGACTAACACATGATGGAGTTTAGGCATTTATGTGTTTATATGTGCATTCATTTCACATTGAGTCGTGCAATCTGACTCCTCGGCCATCATGCATCGAGATGCGTGATTGGTGGCCCGAGGATCAAGGACTACACTCCCTAGAGCTTATGCAATGATGGAGAGAGTGGTCGTGCACACATGTGTTGCAAATACCTTGCTTTTTCTCTCTCTTACCTTTGTTGCAGAAAATGCAGAAACCAGGAGAAGAAACTGGTCAGCCGACCAGGTTTTCTGGCAGGCCAACCACCTTTTCTGGTTTTCACCACCAAGGGTGGTCGGTAGGTCATCTCCAATGCCTATAGCTGGTCGGCAGCCTCCCCTTAGATTCCCAGGGTAGAGTTTCATCTCCTTGGAGCTTTGTGCAAGTTTCTGAAATCAATTGCAAACAAAGGCGAGCCGGGGCATCGCGATGGATTTCCCGACA